GGAAAGATTTTGGGGGCACTTGATGTTATCTATTATTTTTTCTTAGTTAAGCCTCAAAGAAGCCACATTGTAGTTTTTGTTTCGAGTCATTTTCATTGTAATATCATCAGACCTGGCTTGCAGTTAGAGCCTCCAGTGTGTGCAGCCTCTCCAGGACGCTCTGCATGTCCTCCTGCAGTCTGGCCAGCGCCACGACGATCTGCTCATTCAGGTTCGCTCCAGGTGTTCCTGCACCTCCCCAGTGGCCCCCGTCTCCATCTCCAGCATTGTGCATGGGCATCTGAGATCCAGGGCGAAGGCCTGGAGACCTGGAGCCTAAAAATAGAACTGAATTTGAATAACTGACACATGCTCGGGTGTCAGCGCATACAATGGAATGACAGTCTTTGTGACACTGAAAGGCCACTAAATGGAAAAACAAAAGCCACACAGAGCTGCCGGCTCCACAGAATCATGCTGTCATCCTTGTGATTGCATTTCATAACGTTTAAATGTGAGTGTAAAACCCTGTGAATGCAGCCTTACCCCTTCCTCTTCTGACTGAAGAGCCACCAGGCACAGTCACATTCAGCCTCTGTGACATTGCTCCACCTGCCTCTCCATCTTCTCCTCCACATCTGACAACCTGCAATGGACCCTGTACATCCTCCTGAGTCTCCCGTCTCTCCTCCAGAGGTGGCTGGAGGTGGTTCTCTTCTTCATCCAATTCATCCAGAGAGCGGTTATGCTCCGAGTTCTTCAGAAAAACAACAAGATGAGTAAAAAACAGTCCAGTTGGCTAAACCCAGTTGATATTTCTGTGATGTTTAAGTTTTTACTTGCCTCTTCCTGTCCGAACTGGTCCACAGAGTCACAGTACACCTCGCTGTCTGAGTCGCTGGTCAGGTGACTGGGTGCAGACGCAGCTACACTTGGATCTAATGTCATTACAAAGAGGGCAAAAGGGCACACAAAACTCAAGACTTGTTCTCCATTATGATGACTAGTCTGCACTGTAATTACCAGAGTGACAAAGAGGAAGTTCACTGAATTAGGGGCTTTTTCCTCAGTTTCTACAGAACCATTAATTTTCTCCATTAAGCCTGTCCCAGGAGCAGCGGATGTGTTAAGTGTTAAGATTCAATGTGTGCTGCAGCTCTGGGAATGAAGCTTAGGAGATTATCTGATCACATGGTGCTCAGACAGCTTGAGTGTTGGTGAGTCTTCAATGACTGTTTTGGACCGCTGTAGGGATGTACTGTAGGCTGAAACAGAGCCCTATGTTGGAATATCGGTTTTCCTACCTGGATTGTGTCCGTTGAGCAGAGGCTCGCC